AGTGGAAATCGTAGTCTTTTTAAAAATGATCCACTGGAAGAATTAAAACTTCATTTTCAAACAGCTGTGTATAATGTGAAAATATAATTTGTTTTTACAAAACATTAAATGTTAAGGCATGAATGGGGCTCAGAAATGAATTCCTCGCGAAAATGGAGGAAGATAGTCTCAAACATTCTGGTATACCAGAGTCCCTCTTATCTGCCGTTTGCGAGAGATGTGGGAGGAAATATAAAAGATACAGCGCTGACTAGAATTCATACAATCGAAAAGTGGAAATCGTAGTCTTTTTAAAAATGATCAACTGGCAGAATTAAAACTTCATTTTCAAACAGCTGTGTAATGTGAAAATATAATTTGTTATTACAAATTAAATGTTAAGCCATACTTTAAAGTAACATTTGATATATTTGGTATTGGAAATGATGCCAGTGCTCCTTATAATATAACGGTGCTAATAGATTTACCTTATCTAAGCAATTCTGGTGATTTAGCAGCCATAGATATAGTAGCATGGGAATAAAATACCAATAAATGTGCTTGATATCACCCTGGTTTATTTGACACGCTTCCAAAGGCCTTTAAACGATTGGTTAGTAATTTCATTAGCCTGAACTTTTGCAATCCCGAAATATTTATGCAAGTAAATGACATAAAGAACACTTAGATTGGCACTGGTTATCCATGCACATGACAATAATAGCTACTGACTGTCAGTTTACTGTCATAATTCACTGGATTCTTGACCTTGTTGTCCAGTGGTGGTTCATTACTTTACCCATATCCTCGAACCATATATATACAAAGTACATTAATGACAACCACTTGATAAATAATATCGTTGCGTGGTACACGTAGAGGGAACAGGTCATATGTACCCTAGACAGCCCCACCATGGCCTAGGTTTGGGTGAAGATAGTACTTGTGTTTGACAACCCTCTCCCGATTGTACCGTGTAAAATGATGGCATTGTGAACCATGTGGTGGATTGTTTGAAACCCAAGCGCGTTTTGCCCAAGGGAGCCGAACGGTCTCCAATATAAAATATTCAATTCAAAGTCATGTTCAACATTTTAATATGCAATTTTTTTCGTACATTGCGAATGATAACGGAACTTACAGTATAATTACAGAGTGTCCAAAAAGGAATTGTACTTATCGAAAAAAGCTGAACTTTTCACATGATACATGTACAGAGAATTCATTTTCCAAACTGTAGCTAAAAATGCAAAGACATTTTAGATAGCTCCTTGAGGATTTGGACGTTTTAGATGACATGACCTTATGATCGATGCAGAAAGTTGAATGCAACTCAAATCATGGAAAATGGGTAATGGTACCAAAATACGTTTTTTCTCTAAAACTAAATAGAGTTGACAGATTAGATGAAGCTTTAAGATGTTTATTACAATCAAATAGTCTATCAGATGCTAAAATTTCAAGGATATTCCCTAATATCACTATCTGTCACAATGCCGTTATTCCATATTTGTATCGTACAATTTTCCATGTCATCCTGTTCATAATGAAACTATGAATTGATATACCCACTTTGTAGATACATGTTTCTGAATTCATTGTGCGGAAATATGGACGATGACACACTTTGTTTATAGTACCTTTGTGTAATATAACTCCTCTTTGTCGAGATATATGACTTACATATACAAGCAAGAGCTAATAACATATAGCTATTGCGAGAATATGTATGGTATCAATGAACGCAGGTATACTTAGTAATATGACAAAAAGACTAAAGCCGATTATCTCTTATGGATATAAAAAGTGCATAATTTTCACTTTATCATCTATAAAAATGTTGAAATTACTCAATAAAATATTAATTTGTCGGAAACTGCCTAATCGGGTAGTACGTTCCCGAAGGATTTATGGCGTGTAATAGAACTGCAGGTGATACCTGTATATTCGTTTGCGAAATAGAAGATATGAATATTTCATTCAATCTGGGTAAAAACCACTTAATCACCATTTCAAACCTTTTGTTATCCACTACCTAGGAACTAAAAAAGCAGCCTCTGAGTTAAGCTTGCATTTTCCACAAACCACGAACAGGGGATCATGTTTTTTAACAGATGTATGTTCACACATACAATACAATGTACACTCCCCTCCATAAGTTTGGCAACCTTAGCTCCCCGATTGTACCTTTGAATTTTTATTTACTTAACCTGCGATGAACATACTTATACTATTGGTGGAAACGTAATTTGACTTTATTTCCAATACCTCCAAATTTTCTCAATTTTTTTCCTCAATTACAATAAGTCGAAAATTGATGATAAATTTGATGAATTTTTGAATATCGACATTCCCATGTTAACCAATGGGAAATGGTACGTTTGCCGCATGTCATATGACAGAATATCCATCCATACGAGTTAGGCAGACAATTGAATTTGCTAACTTTTTTTTAATTGATTTTTATTTCAGGTTTAGCAGCATTACAATTTAATAAATACAAATATTCAATATAAAAAAGGTTCTACATTAGTTTTACAATAAGTCGCAGGTATTTCTGCCAAGAGCACCACCAATAGATAGAGTATTCAGTTGTTGTTACATTTCATGTGGATTATTTGGATATATATACAAGATCCTCCTAGACAAATTCAAGTAAATTCATTCTGCTATAATGATAATAAGTGTTTGATCTCTCCCCACTTGTCCCCTTTCTCCAATTTTACATCAAGTTGAAAGTATTGTTGCACATTACTTTTAAAACCTACAAAAGTTGGTCGTACATTTTTACATTTACATAGATAAATATATCTTTTATATATGCAAAATATTGTGTTTAATAGTATTGATTTTTCATTCATGA